GAGAAGTGTTATAATAATAATGAATTACAAGAATTCCAATTAGGAGCCAAGCACTATTTTAGGCAGTTTGTAGTTACTGAAGCAGTTCGGGCTGGGCGCGGTCGCTCACGCCTATAACCTCAACGCTTTGGAACGCTGAGGTGAGAAGACTGCTGGAGCCCAGGAGTTTGAGACCAGCCTGGGCAACATGGTGAAACCCCATCTTTACAAAACATACAAAAATCAACCAGGTGTGGTGGCATGCACCTGTATTCCCAGGTACTTGGGAGGCTGAGGTAGGAAGATCGCTTGAGCCTGAGAGGTAGAGCTTGCAAGATTACACCACTGCATTCTGACAGAGAGAGACTGTCTCTAACAACGGGCCAGGTGGTATGTGCCTATAGTCCAATTACTTGGGAGGCTGAAGCGGGAGGATCACTTGAGCCCAGGAGTTTGGGGCTGCAGTGACCGATGATCGTGTCACTGCACTCCAGCCTGAGCAACAAAATGAGGTTTTGTCCCTAAATAACATAAACAAATAAAATACTTTGACATGTCACTATCTCGTCTGAGTACTTTCTTATCTTTATTATGTTAAATACCATGAGGTCATACTGACACTTTCAATTCCAATTCAGCAGCTCAGAGTTCTTTTTTTAAAAAAAAAAAAAAAAAAAAAAAAAAAGATGGGGTTTCTCCATGTTGGCCAGGCTGGTCTTGAACTCCTGACCTCAGGTGATCCACCCACCTCAGCCTCCCAAAGTGCTAGGATTAGAGGCGTGAGCCGCCGCACCCGGCCAGCTCAGAGTTCTTTCTAGCTTTCCTCCTTTTCATGTTTGTAATCCCAGCAATGAGAAACCTATTTTTAATCATTCTGAATGTAACTAAAAAAAATATTTAATAACTAAGAGGCATATAATGAGTGTATTGCTGTTTTTTTAAAAAAAGTATTTTTCCCCACTTGGATTAATCTTTGTTCTTCAAGAAGTATAAAAACTCCAGCGTTTTCATTCATTTTAGTCATTCAACCAACAAATATTTATCAAGCAATCACTATGTGTGCAATAACGTTGTAGGGCTAGGGACACAGCAATGAACATAACATTGTATTGAGGAAGGAATGGTGGGAAAAGAGAATAATAGAAGGCTAGGAAATGGGGAAGCTGGGATCTGCACCCAGAGAGCCTGGCTCCAGATTCATGCTATCACATCTGCCTCCGATTGCTTTTGCAATTTGCTCTCTACCTTCTGCAAGAGTTTACAACTCTCTTGAATCCAATAAAAATATCTTTGTCAGTTTTAAATCGGCACAATGCAGAGCTTTGTGCATCTTCTGTGTTGCTTAACTTCTCGGAGACTCAGTTTCCAAATCTGAAAATGAAGATACTAATCTCAACCTGCTGTTAGGATAAATGAAATTATGCGAAGTGCCTGGAGCTATTTATGACACATCGTATGTATTATTTATTTATTTATTTAGAGAAAGAGTCTCGCTCTGCCGCCCAGGCTGGAGTGCAGTGGCACCATCATGGCTCACTACAGCCTTGACCTCCTGGGCTCAAGTGATCCTCCCACCTCAGCTTCCCAAAGTGGATTACAGGCATGAGCCGTTACACCAGCCATGTCATAGGTATTTTAGTGAAGTTTATTTTCCTTTTCTTTCTTTCTTTTTTTTTTTCGAGACGAAGTCTCACTCTGTCATCCAGGCTGGAGTGCAGTAGTGTGATCTCAGCTCACTACAACCTCCACCTCCCGGGTTCAAGCAATTCTCCTGTCTCAGGCTCTGGAATAGCTGGGATTTCAGGTGCGCACCACCATGCCCAGGTAATTTTTGTATTAGTAGAGATGGGTGTTCACCCTGTTGGTCAGGCTGGTCTCAAACTCCTGACCTCAGGTGATACGCCTGCCTCAGCCTCCCAAAGTGCTGGGATTACAAGGGTGAGCCACCATGCCCAGCCTTGAATTTTCTTTTTCAACACAAATGTTACACTATACAGTTTACCCAGAACAGGGACTTTTTCTCTTTCTGATTCACCAAATCATTTGTTTATATATTTATTCATTTTTATGTCCATTCGAGAAGTATTTATTGAGAATCCAACATATACCAAACTCTCTGCTAAGCATTAGGGATACAGAAATGGCACAGCCTCCATTCTCAGTTTGCTCACAGCCAAAATCCAAAAGACCCACAAATAATTACAGTTATTAAAATAAAAAATAATTATTAAAAACACAAATCATCTGGTAAGTAGCTCTGATGAGAATTAGGTGAAGGGGCCAGACATGGTGGTTCATGCCTGTAATCCTAGCACTCTAGGAGGACAAAGCAGGAGGATGGCTTGAGCCCAGGAGTTCGAGACCAGCCTGGGTAGCATAGCAAAACCCCACCTCTCTAAAAAAGGAAAAGCAAATAAAAATTTAAGAAATAAGAGTAATAGGGCCAGGTGCAATGGCTCACACCTGTAATTCCAGCACTTTGGGAGGCCGAGGCGGGCATATTACCTGAAGTCAGGAGCTCGAGACCAGCCTGGCCAACATGGCAAAACGCCATCTCTACTAAAAATACAAAAATTAACTAGGTGTGGTGGCATGTGCCTGTAATCCCAACTACTCCAGTGGCTGAGACAGGAGAATCGCTTGAACCTGGGAGGCAGAAGTTGCAGGGAGCTGAGATTGCGCCACTGCACTCCAGCCTGGGTGACAGAGCGAGACTCACTCTCAATAAATAAATAAATAAATAAATAAATAAATAAATAAATAAATAAAAAAGAGAACTAGGAGAATGGTGGTCATAGAAGTAGTTATCTTCAAGGAAGAGACTTCTAGCAAAGTCTGGTGCAACAGAGTTTTGCTGTTAAATTTGCAAATAATAGTTAAACAGCACCTGTAATCCCAGTACTTTGGGAGGCCGAGGTGGGTGGATCACTTGAGGTCAGGAATTCAAGATCAGCCTGGCGAATATGACAAAAATCCATCTCTACTAAAAAAATACAAAAAGTTAGCTGGGTGTGGTGGTGGGAGCCTGTAATCCCAATTGCTTGTGAGGCTGAGGCAGGAGAATTGCTTGAACCCAGGAGGCGGAGGTTGCAGTGAGCTGAAATAGAGCTACTGCACTCCAGCCTGGGCGGCAGAATGCAACTCTGTCTCAAAAATAAACAAATAAATAGGTGAATGAATTCAATTCAGTTCAACGAATATTTCATAGAAGACCCTACTGTCCAAAGCATGGTGCTCTCACTGGAAGTATGAAGACAAAGGGGCAACTTCTAGCAGATAACATCTATAGCCAGGTGTTTCAGTACTAGGTAGAGAATTCAATGTGGGTAGGCAGACTAGTGGGACAATGAAAAGAGGCAGGCAGCTCTAAGCTCTACCTGAGCAGGCTTCCTAGAATCAGTGCAGTGTTGAAGCTTGAATAGATCCAGTGTATGAATGGGAGCCATTGACAGCTTTTTTTTTTGAGATAGAGTCTCATTCTGATGCCCAGGCTGGAGTGTAGCGGCATGAACATGGCTCAATGTAGCCTCCACTTCCTAGTTCAAGTGATCCTCCCACCTCAGCCTCCCAAGTAGCTGGGACTAAAGGCACACACCACTATGCCTGGCTAATTTTTAAAATTTTTTGTAGAGACAGGGGTCTCACTATGCTGCCTAAGCTGGTCTCAAACTACTGGCCTCAAGCAATCCTCCCACCTCAGCATCCCAGAGTGTTGGGATTATAGGTGTGAGCCACTGCTCCTGGCCTTAATTGACAGCTTCTAATCAGAGGCATAACATGGCCAGATTTATATTTGTTGGTAGGATGGAAGACTAAAATCAATGACACTGGCCAGTAGGCTAGATATATATACACTCTCTCTCGACAGCTGTGGGCATTTGGTTCCAGGATCTTGCAGTTACCAAAATTCAGGATGCTCAAGTCCCATATATAAAATGGTGTAGTATTTGCATATAACCTACACACATGCTCCCATATCCTTTTAAAAAATCTTTTTTTTTAAGAGATGAAGTCGATCTCCTAGTCTCAAGCAATCCTTGCATCTCAGCCTCTCAAGTAGCTGGGACTATAGCCACGTGCCACTGCGCTGGCTCCCATATACTTTAAATCATTTCATGATTACTTAAAATACCTAATACAGTGTAAATGCTACATAAATAGTTCTGTATTTTAAATTTTTAATTATTTTTTATTTGATTAAAAAAGTATTTCTGGTCCATGGTTGGTTAAATCCATGGATGCGCAACCCACAGATACAGAGGGCACCCTGTGTGTGTGTGTGTGTGTGTGTGTGTGTGTAAATATACACATGGATAGGAAGCCTGAGGTAGACGTTTTACCTGGAGATATAATTTGGTAGTGTTTGCAATTACTCAGGGAGAGTCTGTAGGGTGAAAACAGAATCGATGGAAGCTTAGGAACTAACGCTCCTTAAAACAGCTGACAGAGAAACAGCAGCCCTGGAGGAAACCGAAAGACAACAGCAGAGGTGGAGAGAAGGAAAGTGTGGTGTTATGCGCATGAAATGAATAGAGGAGGAGCAAGGGCGGTTCCAGAGGGAGGGACAATTATGTGGAATGCTGTACAGAGGTCAGAAAAGCGTCTATTTGATTTGGCAGCAGGTGACCTTTGCCAGAGCAGTTTCGGTGTTAGTGGTGCAGGCGGGAATTCCGATGCAAAAAAACTGTGAATGAATGAGTAGGGAAAGTGAAGGTGAGTACGTTAATGAATGAATAAATCAAGTGCTGTGCCCTCTATTGCCCGGGGGATTTCTTGCCCTGGGTACTGGGCCAATGTCGCGCGTTGGTGCGGAGGAAAGGCCTGGACAGGGCTCGGGGTGACGCCTAGGAAACTGTCAGCCTCGCAATCCTGAGGCTCAGCCCCAAGGTCAGGGTCACCTCGAGCCTCCAGAGGCGACTCGTCACCCTGACGACCAACTGAAAAAAAACCGGAAGGGAGGGAAACAGCGAATCATCTCGCGATATCTGGAGCGGCTGCCTCGGCCTTCCCGGCCTGGAACTTGTTTCCAGCTCTCGCGAGACTTGCGGGAGTTGGAGCGCGGGGGCAGGTTGAGAGGAAAGCTGGAGGCGCGGGTGGGGAACATGTCGGAGTCGGAGCTCGGCAGGAAGTGGGACCGGTGCCTGGCGGATGCGGTTGTGAAGATAGGTAAGGGGCTTCTCGCTCCGGCACGCCCGGCCGGTTTCCGAGCTGCCGGCTCCAGGCTGAGCTGCCCAGGAGGGCTGAAGGGAAGCCTCACGGGAGGTCAGGCCGCCCGGCCTGTTCCGGCCCCTCCGGTCAAGGCGAGCCGCCCAAACCCCGGCGGGAGGTCACTCGGGCGGCGGGCACAGGCCCGAGGAGCCGGGGCAGCCGCCCTGGTGCGGGTGGTGGGGGTGGAATTGCAGCCCCTAGGAGGCGGTCGGGGTTGGCAGGTGGGTCGCAGAGCTCTTGAATGGAAGACCGTGTCGGGGCACAGCCTCCTGCCAGAGCCTCGGGGTTCTCCTCCCGGGTGCTGCATCCCCTGGCACGCGGCGGGGAACCGGCTCCGGAGCCCACGCTGCTCCCCGGCGGAAACCAAAGTGCCTTCTGGAGAAGGTCACCTGGAGCGTTTCATAGACACCGCCAGGCCCTGATGCGAGTAGCTGTCATTCCCCACCTGTCACCTATTTATTTGCATCAGAGTAGTCTGGGGCCTGGACTTAGAGACAGAGGGATTATGATCTGGAGTGAGAATTGGGCTGGAAAGCATTTGTTCACTTTCAGACCTTAATGGAACTCTGCGTAGTCCTTTAACACGTGCTCAGTGACGGCACAAATTATGAAGTCACTGTATGGTGGGGAGGAGAGAGGAAACTCGTTTATTGAGGGTATATTGTCTTCATTGTGCGAAATAATCTTTTTACAGGTTATGAAATGGAGAGTCAGGTGAAGGAATTTGCCCACAGTCACATCTAACAAATGGCAAAATTAGGGATTTAACCCACGTTTTATGGGGTCAAGTCCCATGCGCCTTCTTCGATACTAATTTTTATTATCCAAATGTGATATTTTTGTGTGGTAATCTGAGGGTATTTAAGAGGATTTAGGATTGTGTCTTTGAAAGAATGTGTTGAGAAATAAGATTGCATACTCCATGAGAGCAGGGATGTTTTCTGATTTCGTCACTGCTGCATCCCCAGCCCCTAAAAGAGTGCTTAATAAAAATTGTAGGCTGGGTGCGGAGGCTCACGCCTGTAATCCTAGCACTTTGGGAGGCCGAGGTGGGTGGACCACCTGAGGTCAGGAGTTCAAAACCAGCCTGGCCATCATGGCGAAACCCCATCTTTAAAAAATAAAATAAAATAAAAATTGTAGAGTGAGTCAATAAATGAAACAGTTTATCACTTACCATTTCACCTCTGAATTCAGCACTTAACAGTCAAGTGATTTGGGCAAGTTATTTAACGTTTCTGTGCCTGTTTCCTATTGGGAAATTGGCAGTAATAATTATTACTGTCTCATAGAGTGTTGGGAGGATTAAATGAGTTAGTTTGTGTAAAGGCTTGAATATGGATCACTTAGGTGTGGGTTATTTTGAAAGCAGCTAAACGGTCACTTTCATTTTGTTACTATTAACAGCTTGCAGTGCAGAGAGAAGACTTAACACCTAGATATGAAATGATCAAAGTAATTACTAGATAATATCATGTAGTTAAGAATGGGGTTTGAGCTGGGCGAAGTAACCCCAGCACTTTGGGAGGCTGAGGCGGGCAGATCATTTGAGATCAGGAGTTGGAGACCAGCCTGGGCAACAAAGTGAGAGCCTTCTTTTAACAAAAAGAAAAAGAAGGAGCTTTGGAGGTAGACAGAGCTGGGTTCAAATCATCCACTCTCTCTCTCTTCTTTACCATCCTTACTAATTTTGTAGCTTTGGGTAAGGTCTCTTTTTCAACTGTGAAATGGTAATAAAAAGAGACTTACCTAAAAGCATTAGGAAAAGTAAAGGACAGAAAAATACATAAGCTACTTAGCACAGTGTCTGGCGTTTTATGTATTCAGTAAATGGTAGTCATAATAACTGGGTTTTTTAAATTTTTTATGTATTTTATTTTATTTATATTTATTTTTAATTAATTTTTTTTTTTAATAGAGGCAGGGTCTCCCTATGTTGCCCAGGTTGATCTCTCAACTCCTGGGCTCAAGTGATCCTCCTGCCTCAGCTTACCAAAATGCTGGAAATACAGACACAAGCCAGACTCGTAATAGTTATTTATTTTTATTTTTTGAAATAGGGTCTCACTCTGTCACCTAGGCTGGAGTGCAGTGGTGGAATCTTGGCTCGTAGGAACTTCCATCTCCTTGGGCTCAAGTGATCCTCTCATTTCAGCCTCCCAACTAGCTGGGACTGCAGCGTGCACCACCATGCTCAGTTAATTTTTGTATTTTTTTAGTAGAGATGGTGTTTTGCCATGGTCCTCAGACTGGTTGCAAACTTCCGGGCTTAAGTGATCTGCCCTCCTCAGCCTCTCAAAGTGCTGGGATTACAAGCTTGAACCACTGCACCCAGCCAGTAGTTGTTGATATTAATATTGTTGTGCTACTAAAGACCACATGAGGCAGTGAATAGTGTCACTCTGTCTCTCGTGAGTGGAACATTGGTAGGGGTGTGGCATACACATGTGGAGTAAGTAGATGAGGCAAAGTAATATATGATTTCAGGTATAAGTTAAAATGAGTGATTCAGACTCTTTTGCTGTAGGGTTGAATATTAAGTGAGTGGAGGGATGGGCTCAGGTCATTCAGTAAGAGTGTGGAAGGGCTTTCAGCTGACCTTTGTAGAATGGCTTGGGATTGAATAGTCAGGATGGAAGAACTGGAGCAAAGGCCAAGTTGGATTTTTATGAGGAGTAAATTGAAGCGCAGAGAGGCTAAATAGCCAGAAGTGGAGGAGCTAGGCTTAGAACCCAGGCATCCTAATTTCAGTGTAAAGAGGGCTGATTTAGGTGGAGCCAGAACTGTGAAATGTCTTAGAGAGATTCCATTTTATCTTAGAGGTGTTTGAGTTGCCCGTTGACTTTTTCACATGCATTCTGCATGTCAACACCTCTGCCTTAAAAATTTCCTTCCAGGGCTCACTAGGCATAGGCTAGTGGGGAATCACGGGATGGTTTCAAGCAACAAATATTTATTGAGCTATGTGTCAAGTCAGTGGGCAAATAGAGAAGCTTGAGACATTTAACTGCCTTCAGTGGAATTGATGTGATGTATTAGGTTGCCATTAAAAAACAAACAAATAAACAAACAAACAAAAAAAAACGGCAAACACTGCAGTTACTTTTGTGCCAACCTAGTAAATGAAATTTTGGTATGATTGTTCTGGCAGAATGAATTTGGAGTGGCGGAAACTAGCGGTACTATGATTGTGAGGTGATAAAAGTCTGACCTGTTAGACTGGAATAAATGGGTATATTTGAGAAATTTCAAACTTTTTTTCCTATCTATGAAATAAGGGAGTTGTCCTGTTAGTGATGGGCTGAGAGAGGACAGAAGAGAGAAGAGGCAGGGGAGGCTTTAGCCTGAGTGGTCTTTGAGACCATGAAGGTGGATGCTCTTCCACAATGAGTGTATTGCTTCCTGTTTTCTCTAGGTAGTGAGGTTCTGGAACTCTTTTAAACCTCTTTGGCTGCTTACTTTTCTGGTATTTCAAAAGAGAGATGAAGACTCAGGGAATGGCAGCCTATCATAAGATAGATAAGAGGTTTAGTGGAAGATACAGACAGGGAGAAAAGGCAAATGCAGGCTTTCATCTCCATCTTAATAATTTCATTGTGGGTTTTGTTGTTGTTTTTAAGACAGGGTCTCACTGTGTCCCCCAGGCTAGAGTATAGTGATGCAATCATGGCTCACCGCAGCCTCAACCACCAGGGCTCAGGTGATCCTCCCACCTCAACCTCCTGAGTATCTATAGATATGCAACACCACACCCATCTAATTTTTATATATTTTATAGAGTTGGGGTTTCACCATGTTTCTCAGGCTGGTCTTGAACTCAGAGTCCAAGCAATCCACCTACCTTGGACTCCCAGCATGCTGGTATTACAGGCATGAGCCACCACACCTGGTCCATCTTGATAATTTCATACTCTGGCTTGGCAGAGGCTGAAGGGAAGCCATGGTGAATGGACAGCAACTTCTCTGAGTCCTTCTGTGTTTGGTTGTCTTATATCTAAATTGTTTTGCTTCCAGGGTTCACCAGGGTTATTTTCCCACCAGTTTGCTGTAAGATGACCATTATAATCACTTGCGTTTAGCATAGATGTTGTATAGCTGAGTTAAATAACTTTCTTAAGTGTGTACTTTAGGCACTGGTTCTTTAAAAAAGTATTCTTCAAGGATCTTTTCACCTGAGGCTTGAATAATATCTTAATAGAAAGTTATCATATGATTTTGTCCTGTAGGAGGAGATACATTTATTTATAAATATCCTTGCCCCCATTACTATCTTAAGAAAACAATTCTAGGCCAGGTACAGTGGCTCATGTCTGTAATCCCAGCACTTTGGGAGTCTGAGGTAGGAAGATCTCTTGAGCCCAAGAGGTGGAGACCAGCATGGGCAACATAGTTAGATCCCATCACTGCAAAAAATATATATATTAGCTGGGTGTGGTGGCATATACCTGTGTACCAGCCACTTGGGAGGCTGAGGTGGGAGGATCGCTTGAGCATAGAGGTTGAGGCTGCAGTGGGCTGCGATTGCACCACTGCGCACTCCAGTCTGGATGGCAGAGTAAGACTGTATCTCAAAAAAAAAAAGACAAAAGAAAAGCAGTTCTATTTTACCTGTCAATCCAGGTTTTAAAATATCTATTTATTTTATATCAAATAGTGTGGACGAATAGATGATTTCTAGTATGATTTGACCAGATAAATTAAGCCAGTGGATCCAAAAACAACAGCAAAAATTAAAACCCATATTGCCCTCTTCTTGGATGGGAGCTCTGAGTGATGGGTACAGTGGGCCCTTACTTGTTCCACATCTGCTTCTCTTTTTTCCTTTCTTTCAGCCCTTGGTCCTTTCTTTTCCTTTATTCCTGTCACATTTTAACTTTTCTTTTTGACCTCTGTTCTTGTTCCTGCCACTGCCAGCACATACATTGATTGCCTAGTTCATCTATAAAAGTTTGACATTG